ACACACACACACACACACACACACACACACACACACACACACACACACCCTTTTTTCTTCTGCCCAGTCTCTAGCAGGCTGTTAATAAACTGGAAACTACCCAGATTTCTAGGGGGGATAAAAGAGCAACTGTAATCCTAAATAATCCAGTGTTCTCATCCTGGGCTCTGTGGAGGAGGACCCAACCATGTTTGGTTAGGAAAAGTTGGTGGTGGCTTTTCTTGCCGGGTTTTGGACCCAAATATTTAACCACCTCCAACTAAGATCCCTTTCTCTAGATCAAAATTTATCGGAACATTTCTTCTGGAGTGATTCCTAAATGATCTTAGAAAAGCGATTGGAAACGAGCTACTAGAACCTCTGAAATTTCTTAAAAGGTCTCCAAGAAAAACTCACTTTCTTTGCCTTAAGAAAGGGGAACACATCTCATATGCAACCCACTCTTTAAAACTTCGCATCTATCTGCGGGACCACAACAGTCCCAGTAACACTCGCGACTCTATTTGATGACTACAGTCCTTCAAGCCTCTAGTGCCTGTTAGCTTCCCCAGGATGCCCGTCGGTTCCTGAAAGTGACATCAACACTGGAGAGCCGGGGGTTGCCCAACAGGTGGTCTGCCGAACGGTCTCCAGAAGAGAGTGCCGCCCGCCCCCGGGGCACTCCTCGCCCACGGTCGCGCGCCCTGGCGCTCCGGGGGGCTGCGTGGGCTCCAGAGCTAGGGCTCCGGCCGCCGGGAGGGGATGAGCGCGGCCGGTTCACGTCGCCTCCACGCCCACCTTCCCGCTACGCGTCCCCTCCCTTTGCCAAAGCTCAGACTCTGGGGCCGCCCTTATTGTTGGCCGCGTCTGTCACTTTGTGGGCCGGGTGACATGAATGGATGGGCTGGACACACCTTCCAGCCTTCTGAGAGAGAGAGAGAGAGAGAGAGAGAGAGAGAGAGAGAGAGAGAGAGAGAGAGAGACCATCCGGATCTGCATAGGGAGCAGGAGGGACTCCCCCGGCGCCCCCAGAGCTTGCGCCGCGGGCCAGAGACACGCACAGCTTCCCCCTCCCACATTCACTCCTCCCATCCTTTAAGAAAACGCCCAACCCCAGAAAATAATATCGCTCCAAGCCTGCTGGCGTCCTCGGTGCCCTCTCCTCCTTCCCGGGCTCAGCGCGCTCCGGTTCCACGGGAGGCTGCGGCGGGAGGCAGCGGCGGGAGGGAGCGGCGCGGGCCCGGTGCGGCGCGCGGAGCTGGAGGCGGGCGCGCAGGCGGCCCGCGGGCGCCGCACTATGCTCCCCAGCGCCGTGGCGGCCCACGCCGGCGCGTACTGGGACGTGGTGGCGTCCTCCGCGCTCCTCAACTTCCCCGCGGCTCCGGGCTTTGGCAACTTGGGCAAGAGTTTCCTGATCGAGAACTTGCTTCGGGCCGGGGGCGCCCCGCCGCACGCGCTGCAGCCACCCCCGCACCACGGCCCGGCGTCCGCTCTAGTGGCCGCCGCCGCCGCCGCCGCCACGGCAGCCGGCGCGCAGGTCCGGCCCCTGCCGGCCAACCCCGTTCCCCTCAAGCTGTGCCCCGCGGCCGAACCGGTCAGCCCGGGCGGAGCGCCGTACGGCACGCGTTGGGCTTTCCAAGTGCTCAGCCCCTCGGCCGACGGCGCCAGGCTGCCGGGCCGGGCTCCGGGGGATCGAGACTCTACCTTCCAGCCGTCAGCCCCAGGTGAGCCAGCTCTTTTCCTCCCCAGCCGCGCCCGGCGCCTCCGGCCCGGCGGGTCCGGGATCCGAGCTCCCGGGGGTGCGCGCTGCGCCTAGGGAGCCCTGGCCCCAGCGCGCCCGGATCCGCTCCGGCCTGGGACCTTCCTCGAGCGTCTCGAGCTTTCGTCGGGATGCCACTTCGCGGGTAAATAGGGTTCAACCACTAACTGTGACACCCCCTCCACCCCTATCCCATACCACCAGCTTCCTCTCTGTTTCCTTTCAACAAGTGGTAGGGCTGCCTTGATTTTCAGGCCTTTCCGGAGAAACCCTGAATGCCCCACATTGGGTTAGCGGGAAAGAACAGCCCTAGTCCCAAGATCTCTGGGTTCGCTGGACCGGTTTCACCCGTCTTGTTCCCAAGTTCAGCGTTTCTGCTCGCCGCCTCCAGCCCTGGAGGCCGCGGGACACCAGCTCCCTGGGCAGGTACCGCGGCCCGCTTCGGGGGCTTTGCTTCTGCGTCCGCAGCGAAGGCCGGGGCCGTTCAAGAGCGCTCGCAAAGATTTTTGGAAGAAGAGTTGCGCAAACTTTTGGCTTTCTCCGCTCAGTATTTGAGATCACGGAGGCGCAAGGAAATCAAGGACGACTTTTTCTTCGTGCTGAGCTGAAACAGCTGAATTGGCACCTGGGATAGGAAGTTCACCAATAAATGGGAAATTATCAAAAGAAAGACAACTTTGGTTTAATTTTCGCATAAAACCTAAGTGGTGTGATTGGGCAGAGGATGTGGACGGGTTAATCACATTTTAGCTAAAGCGTATGGAGGGGCAGCCGAAATGTGCGGTGAAAAAAAGGGGAAGCCTTTTGGAAACTCAGAAGCTGAGATCTAGTTGGATTATTATTAATTTTTTTTGGCTGCGTCCTTAGGCGATCTTAACTCATTCTTTTAATCCCGATGGGTTTGTCCAGAATGACTAATAGACGCTTTTTCAGCAGATTCCATTGTCCCAGCAAACTGCCAGATCAAATTTATTGCTAATGGCTGTATAGAACTTAACATGTTTAGAACCTGTCCTGGTCTTTCAGCTTGAAATGGTTATTAACAGAATGGAACAAATATAATTATATGAGCGGTCTCATTCACACAGTGTAAAACCTAAGGAACCTGGGAAGCCTTTTGCATCTAGGGAAAGGAAAAAATACTGTTAAAGGCAGAGTTTATGTTCCTTGGTAATTTGGGCCACTCTCTTATTTTTGAAGTGTTTGGAAAATTAGAAACGTATAAAGCCGGTTCACCTAGACAAGAGTTAGTAAATAATGTTGTGTCACAAAAAAATAACATTTTCAAACAAAAAATGGTGATTTGCATAACTTTTAGTGGTTTGGCATTGTGTTCATAGAAGTTATTTTTAAGGATTCTTAAATTGCCCCTGATCCTGATTGGCTGCTCAACCAGAGAAAGTTACTTACTTTTCCCCTTTGTAGATTTTACAGGTTAAATTCAAATAAACCAAATGCAAATCAAAGGCAGATATTTTAATAACTGAACAAGAGGTTTGTATATCTGTTTCATTCAAAATATTGCAATTATTGGGTAAAGGGTCTCCTAACTACAAAAAATTTTCAAGATGTATTAACTCTTGTACACTTATTAAAGTGTCAGAATACAAAAATGGGTTTTTTTTGGAATAGTTAAGAGAATATGAGAATTTATATTTCCCTTTGAAGTATTCTAATACAGTTTAAGCACATATTTTTCCCTGGTGTTTTATTGAGCCCTCATTGAAGATTTGAGATTCTCCTAGGTTGATTTTCCTTTGAACAAATAACCTTTTATTTCAAAAAATAGTCTTGTAAGGGGTGTGTTTAATTTTTGAATCTACAAAAGTATCTTAAGAAAATTAAAACTCTCTATATTTGTGCCCACAAATATGCTGCTTAAAACCAGTATTTACATTCATTTATCTTTGTAATTTGACACAGAATGTCATTTTCTGAACATTGCCCTAGTTTTATTTAAGTGACAGATTTTTGTCCTACCAAATGTTGTGGGAATTCATTGCTGCTGTGTAGAATTATGAAGTTTTAATGAGTGATGACAAGGTTACTATCACCTGAAAATTAACTGACTGACGACATAGTGATTGATGTTCTATAGAGAGTATAGAAGAGCTACTGTTTTTGAAAAGATAACAGTATTTCCTTATATTTCTTTCTGAGATGTCAGTGAACAACCACTGCTAATCCTTTAGACCCTTACTTAGGAGTGAGTGGATCACAAAATGGGATTTTTAATCATTTCAGCATATTGAGTACTCACTTTTTTTCCAGTCTTGTTGAGTGTACCAAACTAAATGTTGATTGAGAAAACCCCAGACTTCCTTTTATTGGTGCCTTGGTGAAATACAGAGCCCTTTAACTTGGGGATTTATGCCACTGCATGCATTTCTGCTTCATTATCTTTGTTACCGATTTTTAATGATGCCATCTATTTCATTTGTTCAGGAAGTGCTTACCGAGTATCTCCCATGTGTCAGGCTCTGTTCTAGACCATTGGGATCGTCACTGCACAAAACGGATGACTGTCTCTGCCCCTGTGGCATTCCATGTTTGGACTGCTGTATGGCTTTCCAAGCATTTTCATAGCTGTTCGCTGCTTTAATTTTCATAGAGGCCAGTTTTTTCCTACAATGATTACTTCACTTGCTAATTTTGTTTTTGTCAGAAGTTAACAGTGGAAACATCTGTGGACTTGTGAAGGAGAAAAAAAAAAATTGTCCCAAACCTTCATATTCCTTATGCGAGTCTTTCATTGAATATTGGAAGCTAGTGATAACTGATTACGTGTATCACAATAATAAATCAGATTTTGATTTTGTATGTGTCCATAAGGAAAGAAATTGCCCTTCCTGTTTGTCTTGCTGTGGATCTGCAAGGTGATGACAGTTAAGCAATAACACAGATTTTATAGGTAATAAATGAGAGGATAGCTGTCAGTTCTTCATCCCTGGAAACTGGCAAGTCTTTGAATATTTACAGTAGGAAAAAGACTCTCCATAGCTATATGTTGTCAGGTTGTTTATATATAAAACAGTTGGATATATATACATATATATATATATATATATATATGTAGTTTAAAAACTCTAGAAATCAAAGGGTATTTCTCAAGGCTGGAGAGGGGCACAGTGCAATAGAAGGTAGTAGATAGAAGATAGATCCAGGGTTGAATCCTTAGATCTGTTATAGTTTATTAGGGGAAACCAGGAGGTTC